ACCCAACCCTTTTTAACGATTGGCCCTGACTTTTATTTATGGTCATAGCAAAACAAACCGCTAGGGGAAATTATCTCCTTTTGAACTTATATGGAATTTTGTTGTCTGAAGGTGTTAAAGACAACCTTGAAATAAAAACTCGATGTCCAATGTTACTTCCAGTTAAGACCACTGTTTCTATGACGCGATTACCCAATGATACGACCTGAAGTCTAGTACCATTACATAACCCATTTTTCTGGTCAATATTTCTTAGTAACATAATCGGAACACCGACCTTTAAAATCAACTTATGGTTTGGCAAACAGGAGATTTTAAGTCCATTTAGAACATCAGGTGAATATAAACTCTCATCAAACTGATTGTAAATAAACTCTATCTGGCAGATGCTATCTGAACTGAGGTATTCTTTTTCTTCTCCAGGAAACAAAGAAAGCAGACGATCATTTATTTCTTGAACAACTTCATTTTTCGGTGCAAGTATTGATCTTTCTTCAAAATATTTGGGATCGTTCAAGTTGTCAAGAAATGATGGATATACAAACTCAATTAATGAACCTATAGGATCAGAAGATTGAGTAATAAGAAGATCTTCATGAACTATGCAGTTATAGCGGTCCAAAATCAAATATCGGTCAAGGGCCGATATTTGATATATAGGTTATCACAGTGGGATATCGGTGGGATATCGGTATTTTTATATTACGTAGCGCCTTTGTAATCTTGTGTTGTATTGGATGGATACAAGGTCATTCAGTAAAACATATAATAAATTAGAAAATGTTAGAAGCAAATGTTTGTCAATCCCACCAAAAACCCCTCCATATATCTATATTTTAACAATAAATGAAGTGATTTAATTAAAACGTTAGCTATAAACGCTATTTCACTGCTATCCCACTGATATTTGCCAAATATCAGTCAAATACCGGTCAAATATCGAACAATATCGCCGCTATTTGTGGTACCGCTATTTAGTACCGCTATTTTGCCAGCTACCGATAATCGCTATCCCACCGATATCCCACCGCTATCCCACCGATGTTGACTGCACAGTTCATGAATATGAATAACTGCATCACCATCATTGGAACCACCGACATTTCCCTCTCCTATATCCAAGAGCCAATTTGCAAATAACCTTGTTTGTTGTATTTCAGACGGATCTTTTCCAACAGTCAACCTCATGTTCCTCGTTAATTTTAAAACTTTGCAATTTGTCCATATATATGAGGAACTTAACGACGCGTTGACAATTTCTTGTCTGCTACCATTAGAAACAACTGGTAGAATCTGTCTAAAATCACCTCCATATACAATTACTTTACCTCCAAACAGGATATGTGAGTTGCTAACATTACCAAAACTTAAAACATCCCTTAAAGTGCGATCCAATGCTTCAAATGCATGCTTATGAACTATCGGTGCTTCATCCCAAATAATCAGCGATGTTTGTTGTAGTAATTTGGAGGCATCATTGTCTCGATTTATAGAACAAATAGAATTTTCAGTAAGATTTAATGGAATACCAAAGCGAGAGTGTGCTGTTCTACCTCCGGTTAGTAACAAAGAAGCAACACCACTTGAAGCAACAGTCAAAACAATTTGTCCTTTAGATCTGATAGTTGTTGATAAAGTCTTCCAAAGAAAGGTTTTGCCTGTTCCACCATAACCATAAACAAAAAACACACCTCCTTTATTATCTTCAATTGCTGCCATAACATCCTCAAAAACACCTCGTTGTTCATTTGTTAATGAAACAGTCAGTGTCTGAAATTCGTTTTGAAGACTTGTCATGTCATAAGATAACTCCTCAGCAATCAAACGATTATTAGAAGAAGATACACAATCAAAATCTGGGTAATGCATGTCTGTGAAGTTCTTAAGGGTGGAATTGTTACGAAGTAGAAATGATTCAATCTCAAACAAAGTTAAGTTCTTCAATTGATGATCAGTAAGGGATAAATCTGTACAATGGTAAATATAAACTTAGAAAATTAAAATACAAATATATAATTTATATAAAAAAGGTTAAAGTAATAAAAGCTAAGTATTATACCAGGAGACTTTAACCGGCGTCGTTGATTGTAAAGAATTCCGTCTGAAAGGTATTCCCATGTATTTTCCCAAACAAATTTTGGTCTTCCCAAACTATCAGAGATCAACATCATTGAAAATAATGACCGTAGGTAATAACCAGTAGCTGAATGGCTTGCTTCTTTAATATCTTCAATATACTCCCTATCATCGTCTAGAAGCCCTAAAGCGTAACATGCATCTCTAAAAGTAGGACATATTCCTCGATTTACTGTTCGGATATCTTCAAAAGATGTTGGACCTCTGACGTTGTTTAAAAGAATTCTTAAGAAATATGCTTCACCAAGTTTAGGTGAAACATCATGAATTCTCCCAATTGAAAATCCTATTTCCCTTGGTTTCCATTTCCGTGATTTAGTTTTCCACACAAACTTTGTAGGGAATTCAACATAAGTAAGATCTCGGGATTTTTTATAGATCTTGTTACACTCAAGCCAAGATGTGAACATTAAAGATTCAATAGACAATTTGTCAAGGATATTGTCGATATCATCATTTGGATCATAAATACCTTGTTGTTGACCAGGAAGATGAAAAGGAAGCCTAACCACAACAGGATACCTATAATAAATATCATAACCAAAAATTCTCCATGATGCTTCACATGCAGATATATATCTACAATCATAATACTATTTGATTTCGTCTACTGAATTATCAGTAGCACTTTCATTGTTCGATTGTATGACAGCAAGTGTAGCTCTATCAGGACCTTTATTGATATATTTGAATAAATATTTTATAGAACCAACTTGATTGCACCACTCGACATTAATGTGTCCTTGATATCTTTTCAAAAGGTCTTTGTTATACGCAACAACATGTCTGTTATC